ATTGAGATACTTTGATTTTTTTTCTCTTCTTACCTACAAAGGGCTATTGGATTTCTTGGAGTGACACAGTGTTAAAATCAAAATTGTGTTTTAGGTTGATCTTCTTGGCCCTAATTCAAAATGCAAATTTGCTAGCTTGGCCTGCACTTGTATCTGAGAACACCAGGTGTCCCGGTGTGGGATGAATCATCCAGTCGGCCACGTGGGTTTTACAAAGGGAGGCAGGGCCGCAAGAGCGCTGCAGTGCTGAAGAGAACGGTGCGAGGGCGGGGCCTTCAAGCACGCGGCCGCCAGGGGTCTCCGTTTCTGGGGACTTAATTTGGGCTCCATGATAATGACGGAAAGGAGACAGTGCAGGTGCAGCACGCGGGATGTTCGCCAGCAGCATCCTTATCACACTTGATCCTCACAAAAAGGCCACGTTCTTGCATGGTTGTTGCCACCGTGCTCTAAAGATAAGGAAGCCATGGCTATGGGAGGCCAGGAAGCTCCTCCTGCAGCTGGGCCACCTGGAAACTACCTCACCTCCAAGCCTGCACCTTCTGGGCTGTGAAAGGGATCCTAAAAGGGCTATCTTTGGGCTTTCCAAGCAAAACACACATCAGGACACCTCATTAAGTAGCAAGTGTGCAAAACATTATATGAGTTACAAAGTTCTCTGCAAACTCAAGAGACTCTTGGCTGCTCTGGCTTTGCAGCTGCTTTAAAGAAATGGAAAGCCACATGGGGAAACAAAGGTGGAAGGAGAAGCCTGGGAGGCAAGGGAAGGAGGGGGGCGGGAGGAACTTCCTGCCAGCATACCGGCTGTCCACTCTGTCCCGGGTTCCAGGACAGGTTCTGTCTTATATTTCACTTGTTCATTTCCTTCAACAATCCCGTGAAGGGGCAGCCCTTTGTCTACTGTGCAGGTGTTGTGTAACTCATACAAAGTGAGATTCTGGCAAGCAGTCCAACTGGGGTCCCTCCAGGAATATGGGTGGAATTCCCAAGTCAGGAGGCTCGCTGCGATCACGGTACAGCAGAACAAAGGAAACCTTCACAAAAAGTTCATGAGGGAGGGGCTGGAACATAAAAGGATACACACCATCCACTGTTTCCTTTAATAAAATGTCAACTTAGGAAGGAAGATTTGCTTTCATCTTGGGTCAGCTAAAGCCTCGTAAGGATTCTCTCATCAATTAGGTGCTGGGAGCTTTGTCCATGTCCACTGTTTGGGTGCAGGGGACAACACTGCGGTGAAACCATACAAAGCCACTGCTCTCTGGGGCTTAGATGTCCAGGCAGGGAAGGCAAACAAATGCACAGACACATGATATGCCAGGAGAGAGAGGCACTCAGACACCAGAACACAGAGCAAGGAGATGGAGAGGGTCAGGAAGCGGCTGTTTCAGGAAGATTGGCCAGGAAGCTGTCTGAAAACTTGGACACCTGAGCAAAGAAATTCCTCCTCCCGCCTATGAAGCTGCCAAAGCAAAGCCCTTTGGAATTCAGGACGGGGAAGCACACCCTTAGCTCAAGAGTTCTCACAGATACCACAGCACTGTTTGCTTTTCTAAATGCTGCCGAGCCAGACAGTTCCTCAGAGGTCCAGGATGCTGTAGAAATAAGCAGGAATCCAACACCCTTCTCTATCACAGCACTCTGTGGCTGCTGATGCATGAGGTAGCTTCTGTGCGAACTGGGGAAACATATGTGAAAGAAGAGCTCCAAAGACAATAAAAGACAAAAATAATATTTAGAATCAAGAGGGAGAAAGAAGCTGGCATGCTGGATAAGAAAAGCAAAAATATATAAATACATATGTGTGCACATGCATCTGTGATTATCCAGATCACACGAAGACATGAAACCACATAGAACCCACCAGTACATGCATTTAAGTCTGTGAATTCCCTGCCAACCTGGGCGATGGCATTCTGAAATCCATCAGCCAGCGCACAGCTAATGAAAGCAGACCCACATTTTCTTAGTATGGATTTCACTACACAGATGGCAATTTACAATCATCTACCTGCTTAAATTACAGTGTAAAGGAGGAGATATTAAAATCTTGCTAATAATTGAGTCCAAAGGCCCATCGATAGCTGTGCTGTCTCCGAAACACAATCAGGTGGGGAGGCAGGCTGGGTCACCTAGGGCTTCACACATCGTTACAGGCTGGGGAGTGGCTTGGGCTATTGCCATATTCATGGACTCCTAGACTCTGCACTGAGAGTTGCCCTAGAGACCCACACTCCCTGCTCATCGCACTGGTGAGGCCAGAAGGCACCTGCGCTCACCTGACATCAACTAACCTCCTTCCTTTGCAGCACTCTGCATCTTCTCAGGTTTGCAAAAGTTATTCAGGAGAACAGACAATGGAACACAATCTAATTATCCGATGGCATGGGAAGAGCTTTGTGATTGACAACAAGTCCATGTCCCAGTATAGACGAGAGGACCTCTGATTTGAAAAAGGAAGCTGGCTTGAGAGATCGGCTTCCAGCCAGAGACTTCAACTACGGGTCTACCTGCTGTAAGTTGCAGGTTCCCTTCATACTGCGAGGGTCACAATACCTTGCTGTGTGGTGGCTGGATGAATTACACGACAAAATACTCAACATACAGCCAGGATCCAACAGACACAAAACCCTTTCGTCCCCAAGCAAGACAAGTATTATGAAGACTTTGTAGCAACGTTTAAGCACTTAAGATGTAATTTTGAAAAAGTACACATTAGGTTGCAAAATTATAAGTATAATCCTACCTATCATCTGTCGATCTATCTATCCATCCATCCATCCACCCATCCATCCATCCATCCATCCCATAATCCAACAGACCACAGAAGGGATGTTATATGTTGACTTTCTTCCTGTATTTGAATGCTAGGTTTCTGGGGCAGAGACTGCATTTCAATTTCTTTCATATTTTTCAAAAGTTTGCACCTTTAAGGATTTAATTTGTTGTTTTTATTTAAGTACCTATTTCACCTAAAAGTATTAATAACATGTTAATCTAGTGAAAGCAGGTATCTGTTTTGTACACAAGCACTACACTCTTAGAGTTTATTTCTCACTATTTGTGCCTTTATCCTACACACACACACAAACACTCACACACGTACATAATTGATTTTCCACATGGATTCCAAAGAGTAATGCCCGCATAAAGAAGGCAGTATAGACCCAAAGCATGTGGACTCTACTTTTAAAATCTCAGGTGACATTGAGCAGGTTTGATTTTTCTCTTTTCCTCACCTAAAAATATTCTAGGGCAGAGAGAATAAGACCTTCTTGCTTAGTGTCTGCTTCTCTGTCTGTTGTCTGCCCTCAGACACTAACTAGGGTCATGGCAGAAGATGCAGCTGGTCATCTCCTTGGATTGCAGGTCGAATGTGATGCATTCTAGAACCCTCCCACCGTCCCACTGGATGGTGGCCATGGAGAGACAGAGAAGCTGAGGGAAGGACAAAGGAACAGGGATGGAAGGACCTGCACTGGTCACTAGTAACTTAGCGACCCATGGGCCAATATGAGGAGCAAGAGTCTCACTGGGCCATGTGCTCCAGTGCTCCTTTTGTGGAGGAGGGAATCTTGAAAATACTGGGTCAGATCGAGGCCTGGACAGGCCGCTCATCAGATTCAGCCTTTCCTGCTCTCCACCGTTTATGGCATGGCGCATGTTGCAAAGCAACGCAAAGTTGAGGAGTGATTAGACCCTCAAACCTTCAGGAAGTAGCAGTGGATCCAGGGCCTGAACACTTAGACTGTGTCCTGCCCACCTGTCCTTGGTCAATGGATTCTCCTGTTTCACGCAGAGATCAACTCCCCGAAAAAGGTGAGCCCAGTGTTTGTGTAGGAGGTCGGGAAAGAGGCCCTGCAGTTCCTCAACACCACCTACATTTTGAGTTCCAGAGAGAGAAGACCTCCTAGGGAGGGCTGCCTTCCACCTGTCTACACTCACAAGGGCATATTACATAGGGGAGTTGCTATGTAACTGGGGGGGTTGCTGATTTGTGAGTTGACAGATGGAGAGGATGGTTTTGACTTGGGTAAGAAATATCTTCCCACCTTAATATAATACTAGATGCTGGCTTCTGTCTAAGTTTAGCTTTATCTCCATTTCTCATAAAAAGAAGTTAATTTGGGGGACTTATGTAAGGTCAAGTAACATGCCTGATATGGTTTGGCTGTGTCCCCACCCAAATCTCATCTTGAATTGTAGCTCCCATAATTCTCACACTTTATGGGAGGGATCTGGTGGGAGGTAACTTAATCATGGTGGGCGGGTCTTTCCCATGCTGTTCTTGTGACAGTAAGTCTCATAAGATCTGATGGTTTTATAAAGGGGAGTTCCCCTGCACACACTCTCTTGCCTGCCACCATGTGAGATGTGACTTATTCCTCCTTGCCTTCTGCCATGATTGTGAGGCCTCCTCAGCCTTGTGGAACTGTGAGTCAATTAAATCTCTTTCTCTCATAATTACTCAATCTTTGGTATGTCTTTATTAGCAGCATGAGGACAGACTAATACAATGTCCAAGGCCACTCAGACAAGAGAACAGATTTGGTATCCAAGCCTAGAGGCCCTAACCCCAAGTCCACTGATCTCAAGTGACACATAAATATATTCTCAGTGTGGGGGTTCAGACTTCGTGGATAACACTCAAGTTCCTTTAGATCCATGTCATTCTCTGCCATGCAGGCAAACACCTTTGTGAGTTTTTTCTGTATTTGCTGTACATACGTCTACATGCACGCATGCACACATGCAAACTCACACAAAGGCTGCCACACCCTTAGTCCTACTACATATGGAAATGCTAGAATTACTTCTTTTTTTTACCATAAATATTATACTGTAAATATTCTTCTGCTATTTTTTTTCAGTTTGAGTTGATAACATTTGCATGCCAGTGTAATTATTTTCTTTATTTTCTGATACAGTATGATCTGTCACCCAGGCTAGAGTGCAATGGTGGATTTCAACTTGCTACAGCCTCTGCCTCCTGGGCACAAGGGATCCTCCCAACTCAGCCTCCCAAGTAGGTGAAACTACAGGTGTGTGCCACCGCCCCCGGCTAATTTTTGTATTTTTTTGTAGAGACGAGGTTTCACCATGTCGTCTAGGCTGCTCTTGAACTCGTGAGCTCTAGCAATCTACCCAGCTCAGCCTCCCAAAGTGCTGGGATTACAGGCGTGAGCCACTGTGCCCAGCCGCCAGCCAGTGTAATTAGTGATACCTTGATTGTCAGGATTGGTGGGGGCTGTTATTCCATAGTATGGCTACAGTCAGTTTATAAAACTATCACGTGTTGTTATAAATTCAGGGTTTCTTTTCCTATTTTTCACCAAACGCTGAATAATGTAAAAAATTTTTGTATGTGTCTCTTTCTCATGCACACATACCTATATTTCTCAAGGGTAGAGATTTATTTAAAATTTCCATAGATGTCGACAAGTTGCCCTTCAAAGTGTTCTCATCAATTTATCATCAGCACAGGAAAGTGCACGTTCGCTAACACATTTGCCATTGTGTGGTTTTATCTAACTTGATTGCTGATTTGATGGTGTATTTGTGTATTACAGATACTGGAGTCTGAATATGTAGTTCCTAAACACGTCTACCTCCTCTTCTGTGATGCAGCTATTTACTTCACCTTCTTTATTACATTGTGTATATGTACTCTGCATACTTAATCTTTTCGTATCATAGTTCCCCCGTTTACTGCTGGTCTTTTGGCTTTGTTTACAAACTTTTCTTGCTCCGAAGTTTTAAACTTTGATCTGTGTACATTCATCAGTCTTTTATAACATCTACATGGTGGCACCTAGAAGGCTTTTCCTATTCTAAGGGAAAAGCAGGCTCCAGGATTTACTCCTAATCCTCGCATATATTTGATTTTCAAAATGTAGATCTTTAATTAGCCAAAGTTTATCTGGGATTGATGTAAAACAGGAACCTGACCCAGTTAGCAGAGCTCCAGGGACCCCAGCTGCCTCTGAACGGCTCCTTCCAGAAGACCGAGGACCTTCCCTCCTGCGCCAGAAGGCTGTGACCTGCACAGGTGAGTCTGCGTCCTCATGGCGCCTCTCCGCATAGTAAGTGACGATGGGCAGACATCCGAGAAGAAAACCACTGGCGATGCTGGCTGGATGGTCTCCCGGGGGGACCACTTGAGAAGGGTGGGGAGCTTAGGAGGGTGAAAGGCTTTTCTAAGGAAGTGATAGTTGGGTTCCTACTGCCTGAGAAACCAGCTAACAAAGGCCCAGACTGAGGACACAGCAGGTGCACAGGCACAGGAGAAAGAGATTCAGATTCAAGGAGTAAACAGGAGGTCTGGGATTTGCAGAGAGCAGGGGTGGGGTAAGGTGGGAGGTGGGCAGGGGAAGGCTGACATAGGAGGCTGATGCCACAGACTGGTGTCAGCAGTGGCAGGAGGCTTTTACAGGGTTTATGTGGGGAGCAAATGACACAGCTTATGTTTAAACAGCCCTCTGGGGACTAGTCCTCTATGTTCTACCTGGAAACCAGGTGGCGAGGAGTGAGGGTCGAGTGGAGCACATTTATGAGGACATGGGTGGTATTTTCACTTATCTGGGGCCCTTCTGATTTTAAGACACTTAGAGGCGGACAAGAAACATGACTTTTTACTTGCATTCATTAAATGTGTAAGTTTACCGAAATGCCTCTGTGACTGAGACATCATGCTCGCACAGCAGACGTCACTGACACGAGTGGCAGTTCCAAAATGTCCTGAGTGCAAGCCAGCACAAAAGGGGCTGAAAAATCTCAGGGTCGGGAGTCTGCGAGGATGACACCTCGCGTATGTCTGCACTTCCCTCGGGCGAGTGGGCGCAGCACTTTGTTTGTAAAAGGAATAACCTCAGAATGTTGGTTAAATATGGCCTCACTTTGCCATGGCAACCTCACAGGCGCACATCTACCGAGGCTATGCAGGATTCCTTCCAAATTGGGAGGGATTTCTGCCAGGGTACAAGTGGGATTCTTTCTCTCTCTGCACAGTTAGGAGCACATGTCCCAGAGAGCTCCAGTACCCACCTCCAAGTGGTCTGACAAGCTACAGTCTATGCTCTGTGCTGGTTAACAACTTCTCATGCAAATTTAAATGCCCTTATTTTGTGGAACAGTGTTTTCCTTGGCACGCTCAGAGTTCCACAGCATTAATTTTAGGTATTTTTTTTTAAAACAAAAGGATATACACATTCTACCTTTAAATAATGATACAACAAGTATTGAGAGAGATTTCAGCCTCTGCTGTTCCACCTGTTACCCTACCAGACCTTCTCTGGAGTTAGAAAGTTACACAATATGTGGATGTACAATGTCAGTCCTTTGTCTGTATTTATCTTTCCCAAAACAGTGATTTATCAGCCTGCAAATTGATATGGTCAATTCGGGCAAATGTGATGGAAGGCGGGTCACCTGCCTACCTGTGACCAAATATTGGCAGAGGCATTTCATCTTAAATAACTACTTTTCAGAACTGGCCACAGATACTCAGAGGCCAGCGTGTCAAATGTCAGTCACATTCAGGACTCACCTACATGGCCCAGGAGAAGGTAAATTTTCTTCACTATCTAGGAAAGAAAGCATCTTTCATGATACTTGTTGGGTTAGCCTGTGATACTGACAAAGGTGTGCTGCCCACATCTTTGTCAATGAAACAGAGTAGACGTGAGTCTGACAATTTTAAACTGCGCCCCAGGGAAAGACACTGTGAGGTCATCTTGATGGGAAAGAAAAAAGCGGAGAGGTGGAAGGGACATCAGGGTGGGGGCCTGAGTCATCTTTATGGCCAGTGTGGGCACTTTACTGAATCCTGGACACCAGCTGCCTCCCTCAGAGGAATGCTGGGCTGGACTGCATAGACTCGTGCGTGTACTGTTCATCTCGGCTGTGCACAGAATATCCATTACAGAAGGGGTCAGCCTGTTTCCCAGCAGCTGCCTGGATGTTGCCTGTGGATGGTCCTCTGGCTGGCCTGTGTGTGTGCAGAGCTCAGCTGAGCTCCACCCAAAACTGTGTGGGCAATCTCTCTCTCTCTCTCTCCACTTCAGGGGGCTGGCATAAGCCTGCACCAACAAAGTGGGTGGCGCCTAATACCCAGCGGATGTGGATGGGAAGCTCCCAGCACGGGCTCCTGAAGGACCCCGCAGAGGTAGAACTCGGAGCAGTGCCTCTGCCCTGGTGGCACAATGCTTTTGCTTTGTATTGATTTTTTGTTTTTTTCTTCAGACAACACGGAGGACTGAATAGTTGGATGGGGAGGAACCTGAAAAGGCTGTCTAGTGAGTCTTCCTCTTGGACTAAGTGAATTCTTCTTTCTGAGAAACGTAGCCTGGGACCATGTGGCCCTCTGATACAGAAGAATGTTTGTCTGTGGGCACGAACTGTTTCAAGCATTAACGTGAAAATCAATGCAAAATCTGTTTTCTGGGGCGAGCTTTTCCTTTTGAGAGAACTATAATACAGTCATAAGATTGCATGGTGTTCACTGGAATAGGCACCTTTGAAATTACCCAATTTTAAAGTCCCTTAATTCAAACAAAAATTCAGGGCAGAATTACTTTGCCAGCTTGCTTTCTTTATATCTGGAAAACTTGGACTCTCTTCCGAGAAGATATTTTACGTTGATTTTTAAAATACTTCTCTCAAAACAAATGCCAATTTCAAATAATTCTGAAATTTTTTATCTTGACTATAATCTAAAAATTAACATATTTTATCTACCTTCTGCCACTACTCTTACTAAAATTAATTCTCAAAAGGCACCCATTCAAGATCCCTTTTCTAGGCGTCTTGGAATATATATACTACATTATTATTAGCTGGCGTCAGCCTGCAAGGTAATAGAACACCAGAACTTATTCTTACAATTACTATGTGTTGATTAGAAACAAAATTAATTAAAAAAACAAACAAAAAAAGTAACACGGCACCCAAACCTGCCTGGTGCAGGTGCACACTCCCGTTCTGCCTTTTGCTCTTCCTGGCATTTGGCTGGCTTGGTCATTTCATTGTTCTTGAAATTCCCTCCCCTTGTGGCTGATGGATTCACTTGATAATTTCCAAGCTGCTCTTTCTATTCCTTCCTCTGCCAAATTAAAATGTTCCCTAGATTCTGTGCTTGAGCCTCTACTTTCATCCTTGGCAACTTCATTCACTGCATGAATTTAACTTCTACCTCTAATTAAACAACTCATAAAGCTTCATCTCCAGGCCTGCTTTGTTGTTGCTGTTGGTTTTTTTTTTTTCCCACCAAAGCTTCTACTCCCAAATTTCCAGTGTCCGCCTACTTTCCCCATGCAGGCACCCAGTGACGGCTCATCCTAAGGTCCTTCCACAGCCAGCCTCAGTCCACCAATTCTGACTTCCCGCTGTTATCAATATCATCAAGGTGTTCCCAATCAGCTTCCTACAACCGGAAAATCACCTTTGAGCCTTCCCTCGATCCTTTTCATTTTCAACCCACTGCGGGCTTCTGCATCTTCTCAGCCTTAGCTCTGACTTAGCTCCCACCCATGGACATGTTCTGCCTGTCCCACCACAGCTGCCCGTGCCCAGGCCTGACTGTGCCAGCCTGGACTATCTCACTGGGTTCCTGTGGGTCTGTTTTTAGTGCCCCCACTACATGTTGTACAGTGACTTTTTTTTTCACTGTGGGCATTTTCTGTGTTTTTAATTTTATAGGCACACCCAATACAGACAGAAGTTCAGAAACCCTGGGTGGAGGGTGGAGGCATGGGGCCCTGGCTGCCAGATGGAAGTTCAGAAGCCCTGGGTGGAGGGTGGAGGCGTGGGGCCCTGGCTGCCTGTTGTTCCTTCTTCCCTAGGTTGGCCACAGCGCTGCCTTCAAGCCTCGGGCTTCACAGAGCAGCTGGAACTCACAACAGCGTGCCCCTGACTCGGTGTGCTCTCCTCAAGCTCCCGGCGTGAGCCCCTGAACAAACAGTTACACACAGCCTCATGGTCTGGGGATACCAGCTCCCTCTCAACTGTGATTCCCGTTTATCAGTCTACAGGGTTCTCGAATGTGAGAGCTGTGCTGTGTTTATCTTGTCTAGTATTTCACACCAAACAGCAGCAAATGATACTTATTGAATCAAAGTCAATTTTAAAATTAGCATCTGTAAGAAACACAGAGTGATTTTTCCATAAAAAGGCAGATACGTTGGTAGACAAGTGGTGTGTGATACCCGCCCCCCCCCCCCCACTGGAATAGTGTGGGGGAACTTCTGAGATCCTTTGAGAAAAGTAATCAGATTGTTTTAAGCTGGTACATCAATTCCCCCAAGTCTTCTTGAGCACGTATGGTGCACCCAGCTCCCTGGTGGACTCACCTGTGACAGTGTGAAAAGGGAACCGCTCACCGAAACACAATACCAGAACACAGGGACATTAGCATACTCATTTACATCAATTTACATATAACCATTCCTGTCACCCCAGCTCCCAAACCTGCACACTGGATAAATTTTTTAAAAAGGTAGTGTGACCTACTGCAGTTATACTCAAACTCAATATTCAGAACAAGATACATGAAGCAAAACAAAAATCTGAACTAATCAGTCACGCGCCTGATTGGGACAAAGACAGGCAGAGCTTCAGCAAGAAACAGAAAACCAAACATCCAGTGCCAAGTTCTCCTAATCCGTGCTTCAAAGTAGCAGGGCCAGCCCTGGTTTCCTGGTCCTGTTACTGTTCGTTTCACAGACTTTCCGTCAGTACCACCCTGTGCCCTGCTCCAGTTAGGGGTATAGGGCTTGACTCTTTATTTAACATTTATAATAAAACTGTGGCCTAGGTGTTACTGTCTCCACTAAACACACTTCTTAAAACTTAAAAACACATTTTTACGGCTTCACCCTATGCCATACAGTCAGGTGAGGTGGCCCTAGTCTGTCCCCTCCACTGTGTGACAAGGGTGTACGAGGGACGTGGGTGAGAGATTTGGTGGGGCCGGCCCATCTCTGCCTGCACCAGAGGAGACTGAGGAGCAGGGTTCAGAGAGCCGGGTATCCCCAGGCCGTGCCCAGGAGGGAGACTGGAGGGTCTGGGTTGAGAGCTGTGGATCCTGGCAGCCCGGCGGGGATTCCAGCATGGGTGGCCCGGGCCGAGGGAGGCCCAACTGTTCCACAGACAGAAAGCGGTCTCTCAGCTAAACACACAGCAACAATAGCAGCCAACCAGCTAATCGCTCACTTACCCACTCAGTGTGTTAGTAAGAGAGCGGCTTCTCAGGCCTCGCTGGCTTCCTGGGACAGGAAATGCCCATGGTAGAGGCTGTCCTGCAGGTCAAGGTTCGCTGCAGGAGAGCGGGGTGCCCAGTCCGGCCTCTGCCTGCCTCTCCGAGGCCCGGGAGGCACAGGGAACCTCTCCGTCCAGGGCGGGGCCCTGGTGGCGCCCACTCCTCAGAGACTCCAGTCAGCCACCCCACCCTGCTCTGGTGGAATGTTCTTGAACACCGGCATGGCCCTGTGCGGGGTCCCTCAACACCAGGAGGGCAGGTCCTGAGAAAACCTGCCCCTCTCCTCGGGAGTGCAAGGCTCGCCTCTGTGGGGTTATCTGGGGGCCACGGGGTGCTTTTCTCTGAGTGTGGGGCCGCCTCACGACCAGCGGAGCCCACAGGACAAAGCTCGGGAGCCCCAGGTGAGGGCGAGAGAAGGGCACTGTCCGGGGGGTGGGGGGCACATCGGATCACTCTACCTGGACCCGTCGCCACCTCCAGCAAAGGGGAGAGAAAGAGAGATGGGCCGTGCACGCCTGCCTCAGTGTGAACCCGCCACCGCCGCTGCCGCCACGGACTGCGCCGCCTCTGAGAAAGGCGAGCGCAGCCGCCTCATCCGGGGATCCGGATCCGGAGCTCGCCGGAAGTCGGGAGGGCTCATCCGGAGATCCGGATCCGGAGCTCGCCGGAAGTCGGGAGGGCTCCACGCTGGGAGACAGAGCACCCTCCTGGTGGGCGGGTGCTTCCAGACCCCGCTCTGCCCAGCTCAGCAGCAGCTGCATGCGGGCCACCCTACTCTGTGCTGTAGCCCACAACAGGCTTAAACTCAGGCATCAGCTGGGTCCGTCCATGTTCTGGACAAGGTACCAGAGGTCTCCGAAAGGGAGATTCGGTTGGAGAAAGGCACAGACGCTGCCTGATGACCCCCGGCCACTCTTGGATTAATGGAGAGGATGTACTGACCGGATTCTGGGAAATAAGCCAACGTGTAGAATAGCGTTGTCAAGATTACACAAGAAAATTAGCTGTCAAATATGAATTGATTATTCTAATATATCACAGAAATGCAAATTAAGAAATGATGTCGTGTACAGAAGGATGCACTATAATGACCAAAGAATACCCACTAAGAGGCTGGTTAGAGGGTATTTGGCAAAGCTAACAAAGGGTTTACATTCATTAACCTAGTGCTTCCATTAGTGGGCGATACTGGGCCACCTGGGTGACATCTCTGGGTCTTATCTGCCTGAGTGATCAAGGGAGGAAGGTCAGACCAGCCTGGCTTGATGGAGCCCAATTTAGAAAGGGTGTCAATGGCCAAGGGCTGCTGCAGAGAAGGCTCATTATACATGGCAGCTAAGATGATTTTACTGTAGAGCTCAGGAGCCATAAGCAAATGTAAAACCGAAGAATGTCATTGTGTTATTATTGTTTCTGCTTGGATGCTTCCTCATATACAATGTTGCCATCTTGTAGAGGTGAGTTCTATCATATGTGGGGTCATAATGCTGAGTTACCTAGAACAATGCTTACTTGAATACTTTGCAATGCTTAGCCAATAAGCTTTTGACTCATGCTTTGCCCTGCTCCTTCAGGCAAGCACAGAGCAGATGCTGGAGGAATGAAGGGCGTGGGCCCCTCGGTCTAGTGTCTGGGTCTGGCACGGTGCTTGGTGCCAGCACCAATCGCCTAGGTTGGGGAGTGAGCACGTGCTCATGGCCCAAACCAGACTCAGGTTTTGCAGGAGGGGCCTGGTGTGGAAGGAGCAGGAGGCTGTGGGAGTGTGGGGTTCATGCCCAGGGACCTCTGGCACTTATGCCTGAAGCAGTGACAGGATTGAAACTTTGGGGGCAGGATTGAAGGGACTGAATATTAGATCCACAGTCCCATCATTTTGAAGGTCAGATAGTGACAAGAGGGAGGCTAGGAATCCATGTAATGACAGAGTAGGAAAAGAGAATGAAGGTTCTGCAGGACACTGAAATGAGGCTTTGTCCAAGTTCTGCACTTGAAGGGAGAGTTTTAGAGGGAATTTAAAACAAATAAAGGAATATTTTGTGTAGGGCGACAAAGATTAGCATCATAGTTCTGAAATAGGCCCTTGTCAGGAGTATACTATAAGACAAAGATCAGACTTGGTATTGGAGACATGACCACGAACCTTGATTTGTCAATAAAACCATCTTTCATTGATTCAACAGACTTTTCCTGGGAACCACCCTGTGTGCCAGGAACTAGGGACATCAGGACAAAGCACTTTATGTCTTCAAGGATCTTACCATCCAATGGGAGACACGAAGGGAAAAACATTCATTAACTCGTTTTTAAGAGGCCCAGAAGGGGAACATCATAACCAGGAAAATGAGGGGGACTCATCAGGGGGTCTTCTGAGAGGAGGGGATGGTTAAAGGACGCCTTTTTTGAGACAATCACTTGGTCTCTCTAAGCCTCGGTATCCTTACTATAAACTAGGTCCTAGGATGAATGCTTTTTAAAATTCTTTTCAACTCAAGTATTACAGAACTTTTAAAAAAGCTTTAGTTTAGCATCTTGGTATTAATAACTCAGAATAAAGAATCTGACTAAATGTACCAAAAACAGAAAGGTAGTATTTTATGGAACTATAATTACACAAGGCAAATATCTGGGCTAAAATGACTAGTGAATGACACTTGTGACCGTCTGACATATTCATGTCCATACACATATGCGTATACCTATGTGTATTCATCCATTCTCATGCTGCTAATAAAGACATACCCAAGACTGAGTAATTTATAAAGGAAAGAGGTTTAATGGACTCACAGTTCCACATGGCTGGGGAGGCCTCATAATCATGGCAGAAAGGGAAGAAAGAGCAAAGTCACGTCTTACATGAAGGCAGGCAATAGAGCTTGTGCAGGGGAATTCCCATCTATAAAACCATCAGATCTCATGAGAGTTATTCGCTACCACGAGAACAGTATGGGAGAAACCACTCCCATG